GAATCATCCAGTGATTTTTCTAAAGCATGATGATGCTCTATCCTCCCAGGGCTCCATCATTAACAGTCCTCAGCCTCATCAGCGCTACCCGATGCCAGGTGTGATGCCTGGCTGCTATGGAACAGAAGACTTCCGGCCCCACCGCCCCATCCTGAGCCCCGGAACGGGGGTGGGGGGTGGGCCGGGGCAGCAACATACCACTGCTGGGACAGGAGTTGGGGGAGTCTCCAGCAGTGTAGAGAGAACAGGAGTGGGGAGTGGCCCTGGGGGGAGCAGCAGCAACAACAACAGCAGCTCTTTCCTGGGATCCCTTTTCGGCAGCAAACGCGCCAAACCACCAGGCCCTCTTATTCCACCGGGGCCACCCTTCCCCGCGCCTGTCCCCCCACCGACTACAGGAGGGCCCCCTCCTCTCTCCCCTTCATCTCTGTGCCAGATGGACGGGGGACCCTCCAAGATCCAGGCATTGCACGCACAGTACTGTCACGTGGGAACCGTGCAGCCTCCACCACCTTACTACCATCACCATCGTTACCACGTCCAAACTGTCCCTCCTCCACTGCAAGGTATGGTTCCTCATACTATACAGCGAGGCCCACTACCCTGTCGGCCACCGCTTGGCCCCCCACATACTCAGCACCCGCAGCTGGCCCATCTCTCCCAGCTTTCCCAGCATGGCCTTGCGGGTCGTTACACCAACATGGTGGTGGGGTGTCCCCCCCCCCTTTCTCCTCTCTCCCAACATTCCCAGAACCCACAGTTCGCCCTGTACCACGCGCAGCCCACACACTCTATCAGAGGGGGCGGCGGCCCTGGTACCAAACTACCACTAACCCTGTCTCACTCCCACCCGCACCCACACGCACACTCCCAAACCCACCCCGGACACGTTCACACACCACACCCAGGCAGCCATTCCACCCACCAAACACACTTTATATTCGGCACTCTGCCCCACAACCTACCGTCCGCTACCGTCAATGCACATCACGCTGCCACCGCCGCCCCGTATCTGCCCCAGTACCCTCCTCTCTCTTCCATCCCCCTCCCCCACCACACTCCCCTTTACCCCCCCCTTCGTCCCCCCTTACCCCTCTTACACCACTCTCCCCTCACCCCCCCAGCACCCCGTGCAGCCTCAGCAGGGGCCGCAGGTGACGGGGGCTGGAGCGACAGGTACAGGGGGCAACAGCTCCAAATCCAAACCTATCAACCGGATAAGCACCGTGGTGTGAGCAGAGTGTCGGGACCCAGGGGTCACAGGTCAGATTACAGAGTGGAGGAGGTTGGCAGAGCAAGAGCCAGATCCAAGTCTGCCAGGACAGAAAGTAACAGCAGCAGCGCGAGTGACAAGAGGAAACGCAGTTTGCTTCGTCTCTGTTACTTTCACCTCCGTTTCCCACACATGTAGATGGACACATAAAGCACAGCAAGAGTTAGAATAGCATGTGCACACATCAGTGGAACCTGCACACAGATATGGACAAACACTCCTCACATTTCTGCACATAATGTCAAAGAAAGTCTATAGCCATATAATTTAAGATGAAACTAAATCTATATCTAAGTATATTGCCTCAGTTTAAAATGTTTCAAGTCTTGTTGAGTCTAATTGAGACTATATTCATGTAAAGTACCAAAATGTGATAATGTGACACTGGAAATACAGAGACCATATATGTTGAGCTGCTTACATGGGGATGTAAATAAAGACTAAACCCACTGACTGCATTTCAACGCAGTTTGCCATTGAGAAAAGCAGAGAGTTGCAAAAAATGTCCTTTGACTTTGCAATAATTTTCCTGGCTTCATGATGTCTCCGTCTATTCCTGCAGGTTCTGCTTTGCTGATAGGCATCTTTTTTTTTTTTCTAAAAAAAAAAAAAGAACCTCAGATATGTTGCTTTGTCTTAAACTTCTAAAACCAGTGCACGGTTTCCTGACAGTCTTTTTGCTTAATGGTCTTTTACATGTCAACAGGATCCACCTGGCTTTATAATGCATTCCTTGTGGGTTATGGGAAATTAATGATACAATCAATCATATATTTTGAATGTTTCTGAAGCTTTTTGCTGTTTTATCGATATTATAATACCTGCTATGAGTATGATGAATATTGTCCAATATTTGTTTTGATCAGTGATTAATTATATCAGCAGATGTTCGTACATGGTTATAGAGAGTATATGCACATATAAATTCCCTCAGTTTGCCACAGCCACCAGAGGGTTCCGATATGTGAAGTGTGATTTATTTCCATAGTACCATGGTTCCCATTAGTTCATCCTTTTAATTATTAGTATTATTGATTGTTCAAAATAATGACTGGGGTTTTGTTTTGTTTACGTTGATTTGAACACCAACATTATTCCTCCTTTTCTGTTTTGTTTGATGTGAGCAATAGGCACAATCTCTTAAATGGGGCAATTAACAGAACTTGAATTTACAATGGATCTGAGTTACTGTTTAATTTATGACATTTTTGAGGCTCGTAGTCTTGGAAAAGGGCTTTTATTAGGGTTGTGGAAAATGAGAAAAAGGCCCTTGATAATGCCATTTCTTCATCACTATACAGCATCGATGCTCGCCTCTTTGCAGCAATGAGATTTTGTCATTTGTTTTTTTTTTCTGTTTTGAAGAAGCACGTTTTTTTTTTTTTTTTTACATGAGGTTTTGTGGTTTTGCACATGTGATGTCATAAGTCAGAAATGGCCTTCTTATCCTCCCTCTTCAGCCACTTTTAAAGATATCGTATAACATCAGTGCTGTTGAGCGCTTATTGTTTAAACACAAAAAAAGTCAAAAGTGTTAAAAAAAAAAAAACCCTGCAGGTTCATTCTTTTTTTCTATGATGCCCCTTTTGCTACAGCATTTTTTGAGGTTGTGACTGAGTACTGATGCCATCGGTGCCGTTCATCCCAAAGGGAAAACTACATGTCTTTCTGATTTTAGGGGAGAAAGAATGGCTGTTGAGAAAGAAAAAAAAAGTCAGAGGAACAAGCTACCCAAAAAGATGTCAAAGTTGAACGAGATCTGAATCCTCAAGAAAGGATTTCAAGGAGGTTTGGAGATAGTCAAGAATGTCAGATGAAGATTTTAAAAGTATGTGTTGGCTAGCCTTTCTTTTTAAGTGTGTCTTTTTTGGCTCTTCTTGCATGAATATATCTGCACTTATTGAATAGATTGTATTGTATAAACCTGAATGTACAGAATATACTATACATAGGCTTCTTATCATAACTATGGGATGAACACTTCCCATTCTGTATTCAGGTGTGTGCATGTGAGTGCCACTAAGTGTGTACATAACAAAGGGGGAGGGGGGGTGCAGAGGTGATGTTGGCCAAAAGAATTATTGACTTTTTTTTTTCGTTTCTTATTATTTAAGACTGAAGGTGAGAGAATGAGTTTTTGTGCTATAAATTGAAGCCTAAAAAGTGTATATGTCAGTGCACTTATTGATATCATTTAAAACAAATGATTTCAATTTTTCCTTTGTGTATGTATTATGTGTACTGAAAGAATAGAGAACTGAGATGTGAATATTTATTGCTTCTGATAAATTAAAGTGTCCTTGCAGTGCCTGTGTCTACGTGTCCAGTTCTTACACCACAAACATCTGTCACTATTACACAACTCAAATAAGCACATCAGTCATCATATGAGGTTCTTTTTTTTTAAGAATGTAATTGATTTAGTCTAAGTGATGACCTGTAGGATTCTTGCATATCAGCTCTTACCAGTAAGGGAAATAGATATTTAAAATAAAAGTTTGAGGAACGCAGATGACTTAGAAAGCAGGTTAGGATGCACCCCATGTAATGAGGTAAAAGCCCTCCAAGCAGGCGGCCCAAGTTCAAGTCTGACCTGTGGCTCCTCTCCCATGTCATATCCCATTCTCTTCCTGATCACCAACTCTATACACTGCCCTATCGAATTAAGGCAAAACCCAAAATGAATCTTAAAGTCAATAAATAAAATGTGGTGCAAGACTTTAAGACGGGGCGGTAGTAGCTCAGTCTCTAGGGACTTGAATTGGGAACCGGAGGGTTGCTGATTCAAGTCCCAGCGTGGACCAAATATGGAAGTTGGTCTGGTAGCTGGAGAGGTGCCAGATTGTGTCCCGAGCACTGCCGAGTGCCCTTGAGCAAGGCACCAAACCCCCTCCCCAGGAGCGCCCGCTGTGGTCAGCTCTGTCACTCTGACATCTCTCCATTAGTGCATGTGTGTGTGTTGCATGACTACAGAGTGTAAAAACAGAAATTTCCCCTTGCGTGGATCAATAAAGGTAAATCTTAATCTTAATCTAACCTCCAAAAATGTCCTTATAGGGGTCGGACTTTCTCGGTGGGCTGTTAATCTCTTGGCAAGAAGACCCTGGAACTAAAAGTCCTGGGTACTTATGGTGGAAATGCAGCTTTAGCTGTCCATCATTGTCTCTTGTTCTGCAGCGTTAAATGGGCAGTTAGATAAGTCTTGCTCAACTCAAATACATTGAATGGCCAGTGTGATTTGGAAACAAGCGCTATTAGGAAACGAGTTGCATGTTAATCCGGAAATTAGGCTCCGCGTTAAAATTACGCAACATTACCTAAACTGAAGTGTTGTGTAAATTCCATATGTCACCGCTTACGTCACTGCTTATTTAACTGGAAACAAAGGTAAGAAACCGATGATATTGCAATGGTTTGAAAATGTCCCAGTAGGCTACATGAGTACTAAATTACAGTAGGCTATATTTTAAAAATATACCTTATTCTTAAGAGCCTCGATTTCAGCATCCTAAATTACCACTGCAATATAAAGGTTTTAAATGTACTAATTCCACTAGGTTTTGTCTGTACGTACCGAACCCTGTCGCAGTTTAATTTAATTATCAGACTTGTGATTGCGTACGTGGGGACTACTTTCAGGGAGTAAACGTGACGGACGCGCAAGTGAAGATTTGAGGTGGTGCTTCGGTCGTGAGAGAGAAAAAAAAAAAAAAAAAAAAAAACTAAGATGGCGTCTCGTCAAGAAAGATAGGATGGCCTGAAGAAGAGTGATGATGATAGTGGTCGGAAAAATGATCGATAAACGACATAATTGATAAAGTTTAAGACTCTCGTTTTGCTGTTAAACGAACCTCTGCCATCACTGCGTTGAACCATAACGGAGTGTATGGATACCTGAGGCTGAGGAAAAACGGGGTCGGCTAGCAACGGTAGCAAGGCCAACTGGACCGAACAGTTTTGGCCAAACGTTAAGCTAACCGCCAGTCATCACAACAACAGAGGAAGGAGAGAGCGGCCACTTGCCCCACTCATACCCCGGGACATCGAGGTGTCTTCGGTCAGTCAACTTGAATGCAGCGAGGCATTGTAGTATGAAATGATAAACAAATAACTGCATGTGGCATTTATTTTTTGTTGCAAACAGGTGACATATGTTTAGCGTGTTGCCAGCTCCGCTATGTAAGGTTAAAATGTTGACTTACACTCTGTTAGCTCAGCGGTGCTAGTTTCCTGAAGCCGTGTAAAGCGATCTTTTTCGGTCTGGAGGCCTCGTTGCTAACGATAGCTGCCAAGCGGCTGTACCTCTTTAATAGCACGAACAATGGATGCAAATTGACTTCCACGATTGCCCGAAGAAGACACAAGAATGACACTTAAGATAGCCAGCACATTATAAATGATTGAATTAGAGATGCTTTCCTTTCTTTAATTGAATGTTGTGACTTTCGCTGGTAAGGTAAGCTCTCGCTAATAGTTGCTGGCTAACATTTATATACACTTTTGAGTTGTATTTACAAGATGTAAGGCAACATCTTTTTGTTTTGTTTACACAATGTGCTTATTATGTGTGTTTCAAAAAAAGGTTGTTGATTAATCTACCCACTTGTGAGTGGTGATGCCTTTATGGCCTTCTATACCTTCAGGGTTCATGGCCCTCCACGCCATTGTTCGCCTGGAAGCTCATGAAGAAATCAGGTTAATTAGATATTTGACACTGAAGTGAAGCATGTGGGGTGTTGAGTTTGATACACTTTTCTTCAATAAGAAGTATTCTGGGGGAAGAAAAAAAAACATGTTTGTCTTCACTTTGAACAGGTCTTTTTTTAAATCAGTGCCTATTGCTCAAGTGCTTACACTAAAAAAAAAATGTTGCAATAATTTCTATATTTATTTTTGTTGTGTTTGATGTTCTGTTCCACAGCTGATAAAGCGTGGTGCCTTGCAAAACTTTTGCCCCCCTCCCTTTGCCTTGTTGATTCTCAATATCATGGGCATTTGTTTTGTTGTGTCTGGAGTTGGGGGAGGGGTTTTTGAACAAGGACCACTCTTGAGTGAAAAAAAAAAAACCCTCATCCTGTGAATCCCCATGCCTCTTATGGATGTTTATGAAAAGTACTTGTGTAAATTATATACAATGAAATTTGGAAGAGGAACTAACTACCTTCTATTTGAAACTGAGGCTGTTGAACTCCTGTGCTAGGATAAATCAAATATTTTGAAAGAGTAAACAAATATAATAGCCTTTTGTCACAAATGTATAATCTGCTGTAATGTTCCTTATTCATCAGTTCTTTAACTTTGGAACATTTATGGTTTTGTCGAGTAAATGTCATTTCTAAAGACCGCTGCTGTACAGTAAACAAACTTCAGAAATTATTGTTTTCCTATAACTTTCTTCACATCAATGTTAACTGTGCCAAAGTATCTTGAGGTAATTGAGAATTAAATGTAAGAGTATTGTGCTTTCGAGGATGCTTTATTGATGCTGTCGTGCCCTTTGGTGAGTCTACCACAGTTAAATAACTTGTCTTGCTTTGTTCATTCTTATTTTTCAGGGCAATGGAAGGGGAAGACTTTGTGCCTCCTCCGGAGTGTCCAGTTTTTGAGCCATCATGGGAGGAGTTTCTGGATCCCCTGGGCTACATCGCCAAGATACGGCCAATTGCAGAGAAGTCTGGAATCTGCAAGATTCGACCTCCACAAGTAAATATCTGCCAATGCTTGAATTGTAGGGATGCCTTTTTCCTCCTCTGATCCAAAATCAGGTCCTTGGTCTTTGTCATGTTGAGTTGCACAATGTGACGGTCGCCCACCTCAGCCTTCTCACCCTTGCTGATACATCCAACTACAGCAGAGTCAAGCCGAGTTTTAACATCTTATCGGTATAGGCCACTAGCGGGGCTGTAGCCTGCTCTTCTACCAGGATGTAAACAAACACGGATAGCATCCTATAGGAGCAGTAGTTTGATCTAGAATATTGAGGAAAAAGTTGTATACAGACTGTGCCAAGTTAAACTGGCATATCAACCAGGCGAGTCAGGCGTTACCACATTCAGGTGATTGTTCACAATTTTAATTATTTAATGAGTGTTTTCATACCTTTAAATTGGTCCGTAAGTCTGGATTTTAGATTTCTGTTTAGCCGAATAGGAAAGTAGCTCCTTGGAATATCTCTAGTGATTGGTGAGGAGGCATGCGTTTAAAGGGGTTGAATGAAAGTTTCACCTCCCTTTGCTCTTGACAACATTTTTCAATCCTGAAGTCTTTGATGTTTGATAGCATGTTTTTACCCTCCAACAGGACTGGCAGCCACCGTTTTCAGTGGAGCTGGATACTTTCCGCTTCACACCTCGTATCCAGAGGCTCAATGAGTTGGAGGTAAAAAAAAAACATATTCTTAAAAGTTGCACATTGATGAAAGACAGTTAAATATGTGACTGGACCTTGTCATACTATCAATCATGTCCCTTGTGAATCCTATTTTAGGCGGAGACCAGAGTGAAGCTGAATTATTTGGACCGCATTGCCAGGTTTTGGGAGATCCAGGCTTCTTCCTTGAAAATTCCACATATTGAACGTCGCATCCTTGATCTGTACAGCCTGTCTAAGGTAAATACTAATGTAACGTCTTGAACTTAAAAAATATGTTGATCAATAAACGTAGGATTTAATTTCTTACTGGATGGAATACTTTCCTGTTCCAGATTGTGACCGATGAAGGAGGTTTTGAGATGGTTTGTAAGGAACGGCGCTGGGCTCGTGTTGCCCAAAGGCTTGGCTACCCTCCAGGCAAGAACATTGGCTCTCTGCTGCGCTCGCACTACGAGAGGATCGTCTACCCCTTTGAAATGTTCCAGTCTGGTGCCAGCATGCCGGTATCTATCTGCACGCTCTTATTTCCTCCTGTAGTGTAACCAGGGGTGATAGCATTTCAAGTCTTCAATTTATTTTGGAGCTGAGCGGGTGTTTATAAAGGTTTTCATGTATATTCTCTCCTTTAACATCATTTCCAGCATTGTAAGCCAAAGCACTATGATGGTGAGGATGTGGATAAAGAGTACAAGCCACACTCCATCCCCCTGCGACAGTCTGTGCAGCCATCCAAAATGAGCAGTTACGGACGCAGAGCGAACCGCTGCCAGCCTGATGTGAGTGACATTCCATTCATTTGCATAACTCTCTTCCCAGTAACCCTACACTGAATACACCTGGTCAGTGGGTTGTAATGTCCTGGTTCACATTTCTGTGTTGCCTTGATGCCTCAGCCGAGGAACATGAATAATAATATAAAAATAAAAATGTTGTTTCCATGGTTACTTTGAAATACCAAAAAAACTGTGTGGGTTTGTTGAAGATAATCTGTCAAAGAGGAATTTGATGCAACAGTGGCACTGAAAAATCTGAATATCAACCTGCAGAAGATTTTAAATACCAGGTAGTTGGCTGTTTAACCTCATCAGTTATGTTTTTTTTAATTGTAGACTTCTAATCTCTGTTTCATTGTAACTACACTGTTTTCTTATGTTGTAATCAAAATGAATATGCAGGCTTATTTTCAGGACATCAAACCTTATTGTTCATAAGATTTATACTTATTTTCTTTGTTGGTTGAACAGCAAACATGAAGTTTTTGAGTCACTTGTTTATAAACATGGTTTAGTTTCTCACATGAATAACATCCTAGCTTCCATCATGACACACGAACAGAAAGTCAAAGCTCACACGCTTCTTGTTAACTGTGCTCATCCATGTGCTCTTTTACTTTGGTCACAGTGTCGCTAGTATCTGGAAGATCTAAAAGTGCACTTAGAGCGCATCCCAGCTTGCTAACTCTCCATGCCGCTTTGCTTATCTTTGCTGTTTTTGCTCCCTGCTTTGTGTTTTTTCCACTTCCTTTCATCTCACAGGTAGACACCCAGCTGTTTTTTACATTATCTACAAACATGCAGTTAAAGTTGTGGAACAGCCTAAAGTATGTTATCATATGCTTGCTCCATGTAAGCTATTGATGATTAGCTTGTAACATACACTTTCCGTTATTATTATCTTAAATATTTATAATATTTTTAAAATATAAAAGTAGCATAAAATGTTCTTTCTAAAGTACTTCATACATGACAGTGGATTCCAGTTATTTCACCATATCTGCAACACATTTTTTGCATATGCATTTATTTGCTGACTTGACAAAAACAGGACTGAAATTCGTACAGATAAAAATAAAAAGATCAATGCAACTACTACTCATAAGAGCTTTCGTGCAATAATTTGTTTGCTCATTTGTTTTATTTATTATTATTAACTATTATTTATATTACCAGTGAACACATTTTCAAGCATTCTGGCTGAAATTGTTTGTTTTAGCAGTTAAACTTAATTTACAAAAGTGAGGAGATCTCAATTGATCGCTTACACCTGGATATTTAATGCCTTGGCATGCCAGGTACCAATCTAGAACTCTTTCAGCTTTCAGGACAGTATCTTTCTAGGTCACAGCAGAGATAAAAGAAACAGTTCTGTTGAATACAAAAGCATTTTTACAATGGCATAGCTTTAAAAAATAATGATAGTCATTTACAATGGTCTGGCAACATACTGGCTTCTGAGGCTGCACACCTGTCCAAAGTTGAAAGGCAACAATTAATATCTAGATCCACATCGTTTCCTTTTGGACCGTCACACGTCCCATGTCTCACGTCTATTGTGACCTTTGTCTCATGATGTGTCCCTTTTCCTACAGCTGCTGGCTCTGTGCCCTCCAGGCTCACTCCCTTCCTCTCTCATCTCCTAATTTCCTCTTGTCTCAGTTTATTGTTGCTGTTGTTGTCTCCCCTTGCAGGGTCCAGAGGATCTGGCCCCCCATCCTCTCACCACTGGCTCTGAACTCATCTCTGCGGTACTGCCTCGTGAGCATATAAGCTCACCTTCTGCCCTCCCCTGCTCTCTTCCTGCTTTTTTCCTCGACCACTTAAGCCCCCTTCTGAAGTTGTCTAGATTTTTTCTTGTTATCCTAACTAACCACTAAAATATTTTCATTAACATGCATTCAAAGGGATTACATTAAGCAATGTAGGAGTGGCAGTAGCTTCATGATTGTTGTAAACATGATGGCCATGTTTCACATTTTCAAACTCTAGAACAGACACCATACACAGTGAGATTCCCCAAGCTGCTTACTTTTTGTTATGAAACATTTTGTTCCTCATGATTATACCTCATGGACTGTTAATAAAAATACACTGTGCAGTCTTATGTTGGACAAAGGTGTTTTTGGGCCGTGGTTTTTTTTAAAGGGATCCTAAATGTCACAGTTCACTGAGGGCTCTTGAAGAAACTTTCAATGTATCCCAAATACCAAACATACTTTCTCCCAGGTTCTCTTACTTTCTCCCTTTCACCCATGCTCTTTGTCTCTGGTTGTACTTGGCTTCAAACGCTTTGTTGCTTGGCTGTCTGTGTGCTTATGCACTTTTGCCGGCTTGCCTTGCTGTCTGCTTAATTCAGCAGCTAACAGTGTGGCTGCATGAGTTTTCTTTAGAGTGCACTCACATAGAAGAACTTATTCTTAGTTTGATGGGTTTTTACTTCTTGAGGTGTATCGTCAGGTGATGGACTGAGCTACATTGAAGTCTTAAGAAATCATTTTGTTTTGACTGTCAGTCTCTAAGTTTTACTGCCCTCTCCTCTCTACCAAGCCATGCTTTGAGCTATGCCCTGTAATCTGTTTTTAATCCCCGTCTCACTTGAGTCCTCCTCTTGTCGGCACAGACAGTATGCCAGGACAAAGCACCTGTTTTTATTTATGCAAAAATACAGAGAATAACGGAACTGAAACCGATACAGACAGATTTAGAAACAAACATGCTTCTTCCTTTGTCCTCTATTTGAAACTCTTGAACGTCTCTTGGTATTAAGCCTTTGTGCTCTAATTGGCTCTTGCAATGTTGCAATGGCATGTATAAATAAGTCTCTGCTGTGTGTGAATTCACATTGTGTTGAGACACCGCAGACCACACACCTGAGTAGAGAAAGTGTTTATATAATAGATTTTTATCCATTCAGATTTGAGCCAAACTGGTGGTGTGAAAGCATCTTGAATGGATGTTAAACAACTTCCAGGGCAGGAGTCGGGAATCATTTGACTCCTGCTTCTAAGTGTTTTTATGATTTATGACCTTTCCATGTCCACCTACAGTCACATACACATGACGTATGTGTTCTGTTTGCAATCATAAGGCTGACAGACTATAACTAGTGTTACAAAACTTGGAACAATAAAACTGATGCTGTGATTTGAAAATTTGAGGGGAAAAAAAGAGCAAAAGAAAGGACAGGCAATGCACAACACGACGGTTGTTCTTGAGTTCTAATCAGCATAGAAACCATCATTAATGGATGTTATCAAACAAAACCATCGTCATTATCGTCATCATCATCATCATCATCAATAATATCAAAACCATCGTCATCATCATTATTAAGGTCTTAGGTATTTATGAAAGAGCTGGGTCTTTAGCTTTTTCTTAAATGTACTGAAAGGTATGACGTCAGGGTGACAAAGTTTTCCCTACAACATTGTTTCAGCCAAATGTCTCACACCTTAAGATACAGAAGTCTCATTGCAGTTTACTGTAAACAGTGTTCTTTTGGGGGGGATTGAAGCAGCTCAGTAAAGAGAACACTGTGTGAAGCCAGATGAAGTTGAACTGAAGTCAAGAAAACATAATTCACAGCAGCTGAAGGCTGTGTTCAAGTAGGCGGTAAATACAAAGCAAGATTTGGTTTTTAAAAAAACAAACAAGTGCACGTGGTCTTCTTGCTGCTTTCAGTGTGGCCCGCATGCGGTGCAGCACTTCAGATTTAATTAAGTTTTACATGTGATCCAAACAGGAAATAACTCTGACCCAAAAAATCTGATCACATTAGAGACAGATAAAAATGCTTTGACGGTGTAAGCTAACTATTAGCGAATGATATGTTTATGCAAAACTTGTGATGCATTGTTATCACTTGTAACAGCACGCATGACCTGAGATATTAGGTGGGAGTAAAAGATAAAACAGATTTAAGAATTCTCTGTTTCTATGGGGGACATGCAACAGATCTGCAGGAGCGCAGTCAGGGATGCTGGGAGATCAAAAGGCACAAAAGATAATGGGTGACTGGATACGACTTAAACAAGAACAGTGAAGCGTGCTGATAATAATAAAATGACTTGACTTGAGCACTCCTCAGAGGTCATAATTCCCCAGAATCATCTAAGACAGAAAAGGTTAATAAAATAGTGGATCAGTTGTGCTTAGCAAGATGTTTGTTTTTATTTTTTTTGCCTTCTTACTAAACAATCTTACAAAATACCTTATGATCTACAAATGACAACTCTTTTCTCTTTTGACTTCTTCTCATCTTCCCCATCCAAAATAATATACTAAGAACATCATACAAGGCTTTGATGAGAACCAAAATAACAATTAACACATTTTTAATGATGCCCTGTCTGAACTGGATGGTTTCAACTGCTGTTGACTTTGTGTTCTGGTGGTGGGTCTTGTTCTTTAAGCTCTCACTTTGACGTAGCCTAACTTTTCCTTACTTTCTAAGTGAGCGTAAACCTTCTTGTGATGCACTGCTGCGCTCTCAAGTTTTTCAGCTGTCTGCTCTGCATTTGGCCGACACACTTGGTTTGATCTGTGTGCTTTGGAGAGTAGCTGTCGTCTTTTTAAGCCTTTGTCACTGAAATGTGCTTTCGTCCACAGCCTGAACCTACAGAGGAGGACATAGAGAAGAACCCAGAGCTGAAGAAGCTACAGATCTATGGTGCAGGGCCGAAGATGATGGGACTTGGACTGGTGGCACGAGACAAAGGCCTCAGGAAGAAAGGTTAGTGCCCTGAACGTGGAAAAATGAATTAGGATGGGAATTAAAAAAAAAAAACGTTAGACATAACTTCTTATCAGACTAAAAAAAATTAAAAAGTTGCCCCTTTGATGTGTTGGTATATAAAATCTAATCAAATCACCTTTATTTCTATAGAACATTTAAAACAGCCAAGGTTGACCAAAGTGCTTTACAGAGTTAAAGGTTAAAAGTGATACTATCATATGTGAGATGATTTACAATGCTAAACGTCAGCATGTTACAGGCTGTTAACATGAGGGGACTGAATATGAAGTAAATACGATTTAAATGGGATGGTGCATCCAGAGAAAATCAGTGTTTTATTCTGCATGATTCACCTCATCAACAAAGGGTCGCTACATGCAGAGTGTAGGCTGCCAACCCAATCACAAGCGGCAAACTGTTCAGGCATTCTGGAAATGTATTTCTCAGCTGAAATGAGTGTACATGAATTCCATTTAATCATATTTATTTCATTTATTCTTATGCTGTGGGCGGTCACATTGTGATGGTTGGTCACCACAACAAATGAATGGTCGGGGAAACCCTGCAGTCAAATATATTGACTGTAGAATTTATTATTGACTTTATTGTCAATATATTTGAGAACTTGCTTTGTTTTGAGTACCACAATCAGGACTACCGTAGCTGTCGTCTCTAAAAATGTAATGTTCTGAAAACTCTTTCTCTTCTTTTTAGATGAGCTTCCTCAAACTGTTACCATCAAGGAGGATTTGTCTCCTGCTCCTGCTGATACCTCGGTCAAAGCAGAGCCTCTGGAGGCTCCAGAGAAGAAGAGTGAAGGAAGCACATCAAGCCCCGAGCCGCCTCCCCCCAGCCTCACAGTGAAAACAGAAGTGAAAAAAGAAGAAGCGGAGGAAGAGAATGGGAAAGAGAAACATGAGGAAGATGATAAAGATGGACCTTTTACCAAAATGACCATGAGGCTTAGACGCAACCTCAACAACCCACAGTGTGTAAGTTGACCACAGGTTGCACCTGGTGGGCAGTTCAAATTGAGATCCACATTTCCATAATGTAAACTACCTTTAGTCAAATGATTCTAAATAGCTTTTACTCGACTTACTTTGCCCACAGTCTGATGTTTTTTAGAATGTAATCTCTTCAGAGGACAGTGTGTTTGTCTGCTTTCGTGAAAGGTAACCACACTCTGCTTTTCTTCTCCCTTCTTCAAAGGTGGATTCTTTTGTGTGTCGGATGTGCGGCCGGGGAGATGATGATGAGAAACTCTTGTTATGTGATGGCTGTGATGATAACTACCACACATACTGTCTACTGCCCCCGCTTACTGATCCTCCCAAAGGCAATTGGAGATGTCCAAAGTGTGTGGCAGAGGTAAGTAAAACTATTTTAACCCTTTCAAAAAGGAGTCTGGTGGGACTAACTGTGTGACTCTTATTCCAGATTTCACAGTGCTTTTAGAATGTTTTAACTCTCAAGACTTATCTTTGTTGTGATATTCTCACTATTTAAATTTTGTAGGAGGTCAAGAAACCCTCAGAAGCGTTTGGCTTTGAGCAGGCCACACGAGAATACAGCCTGCAGAGTTTTGGGGAAATGGCGGACGCCTTCAAAGCAGATTACTTCAACATGCCTGTCCATGTAAGTGTGCACACATACAGCAGGATGTCACCTATTTACTTTGAGGCATGACTCTGCGCTGACTGTTGACAATATGAGAGACTAATCTCCAGCCTGTTGTTCCCGTTTGTAGATGGTTCCCACTGAGCTTGTGGAGAGAGAGTTCTGGAGGTTAGTGAGTAGTATCGAGGAAGACGTGACTGTTGAATATGGAGCCGACATTCACTCAAAAGAGTTTGGCAGCGGCTTCCCGATGGACAATGGCAAGAGGAAGCTCACAACGGAAGAGGAGGTACATACATTGTTGTGTCTTTACTAACCTTTTGTAGCTAATCTTGAATAGTCTTCAATTTCATTCATTGTTAAAATTCTCAAAACTGCTCAAGTAAGTGTTGATCTCCCCCAAAAAAACATTAAATCCACTGTCATGACTGCAGGAGGCTCATTCGGCACTCAATTTTCTATTTCATCAGAAAATATTCCAAATATTTTTTTCTTCCTTCATTGGGAAGTTGAAAACAAGCCGGCATACTAACAGAATTACAGACAAAGAGATAATGCACAAATAAAACAAATCAAACCCATGAAATGTGTTTTATTATAACAGTTTTGACATGCATGGACAAACATATCCCTGCCTAATGCTGTAAAAAATACCATGATAGTGATAACTGAAACTAAAGTGACTGCTATTGATACAGCGCTACAAGCTTCTCTTCTTTCTTGTTTTTATGTTTAGAATTTGAATCAGGAGTTGATCTGGGTCAGTTTGTAAAAAATCTTAAGAATCAGTCAAATCCAAACAAAAACCAACACCAGGAAAAATTGTTTTCAATAAATGTACTGTAGACAACAGAATGTCAATAGTGTCATTTAGTTTGTATTTGAGTAAAAATCTTTGATCAAAATCTTAATTATTTTGTAATGTATTCAAATTACATGAACTGTGTATATAAAGCAATCCTGTTTACGTGGTTCCTGCAGTCAGTTATTAATCAAAACATTTCAGTCAAAGTCTTTATTTTCAGAGCTGTCTGTTTTCTGTGTTTGTTAGGAATATGCCCGCAGTGGCTGGAACTTGAACGTGATGCCCGTGTTGGAGCAGTCTCTCCTGTGCCACATTAATGGAGACATCTCTGGGATGAAGGTGCCGTGGCTTTATGTGGGCATGGTGTTCTCAGCGTTCTGCTGGCACATCGAGGATCACTGGAGCTACTCCATCAACTACCTCCACTGGTACAAAATGATTCTTGTGCTTGGTGTGGGTTTGATGTTAGTTTGTAGTTGTAGGCTTGAACAATAGCAGCATGGAGGATGGATAATAGGAATGTATTCTGCGTGCACACTTTCTCTCTCCCAACTGTACTCAGTTCTTAATATAAACAAAACAACAACTGAAGAATGCAGAGGAAATTCAACTGTTTTCCTGTGTTTGTTATCATATTCTCTGCTGTCCAAAAACAAAAAAAATAGAGAGTTTCAAAAAAGATACAGCTATGTCGTGAAAAACTAAAACCTTTCCTTTGTTTTCATTATGTGCAGGGGAGAACCCAAGACTTGGTATGGCGTTCCTTCTGTGGCCGCCGAGCGTCTTGAGGGGGTGATGAAGAAGCTGACACCGGAGCTGTTTGAGTGTCAACCTGACCTGCTGCACCAGCTGGTCACCATCATGAACCCCAATATCCTCATGTCTCACGGAGTACCGGTCAGTGTCTCAAAATCACACAACAGAAAATCTAGTTTGATGAAACGTTCTCTGTGATTAATCGTTGTGTTTTTGATACGCAGGTTGTGAGAACCAACCAGTGTGCTGGTGAGTTCGTCATCACCTTCCCCAGAGCTTATCACAGTGGCTTCAATCAGGGATATAATTTTGCTGAAGCTGTTAACTTCTGCACTGCGGACTGGGTACGTCTCTTTCAACTGTCTGTCTCCAGCTTTCCTTTTCACACCATTCACAGTACTTCAATAATCAACATCCTTCTGTCTTCTCTGACCCGCTCAGCTGCCTGCTGGACGCTCCTGCATCGAGCACTACCGTCGTCTAAGGAGGTATTGTGTGTTCTCCCACGAGGAACTCACCTGTAAAATGGCCGCAAGCCCGGAGAAACTGGACCTCAACCTGGCTGCAGCTACACACCGGGAAATGTTTATCATAGTTCAAGAGGAGAGGAAGCTGCGGAAGGGTTTAATGGAGAGGGTGAGACAGAAATAACTCGCACTGATTGTTGTTTCTCTGTTTATACATTCATTCTTTTTATACATGAAGAAACATCATCAGTACAGTTGAGCTCTGTGCTTTAGTAATTGGATATTGTATTGTTTGTGTGTTTTTCCTGCAGGGCATTACTGAAGCAGAGCGTGAAGCTTTTGAGCTGCTTCCTGATGATGAGAGACAGTGTGATAAATGCAAGACAACATGCTTCCTCTCTGCTCTGGCCTGCTTAAACTGTCCCGAGCGACTTGTGTGTCTCTACCACACTCAGGATCTGTGCAACTGCCCCACTGAGAAACTCTACCTCAGGTATGTATGTCTTGTGTAGCCACGAGTGTGTGCATATGCTTTACAGGGATAATAATGTTTTCTGACTAGCTTGATATGTATTTGTTATGCTAACATGTTTTTGTCATCCCCTCACTGTGCAGGTACAGATATACCCTGGACGAGTTGTTAGCCATGTTACACCGATTAAAGGTCCGATCTGAGTCCTTTGATTCCTGGGCTAACAGAGTAAAAGAGGCTCTTGAGCAGGAAGAAGGAAATAAAATAGGTAAGAATGGATCAACCGTAAACCCTTTACAAAGCATTTAAACAGAAACTGACAATCTTGAAATAACAAACACTGGTTGTTAAATTACAGGAATTGATGATCTGGAGATGCTGAAGAAGGAAGCAGTAGAAAGAAAGTTTCCAGACAACGAACTCCTGCGAAAACTCAACACTGTTGTTAAAGACATCGAACGATGTCAGCAGACGAGTTCTGAACTCCTCAGTAACTCAAAGAGCAGGTATGACAGAACAAAAACTGAGGGTTTTTTTCTACATTCAGTGCACAGTTACAATCACTCACATGTTACTGTTTTTTAATTTTTTTTAGTGAAAGTAAGATGACGTTGGCAGAGCTCAAATCTTTAGTAGAGACGATGCAAAACCTGCCCTGTGTGATCGACCAGTTGGAGGGAGTACAGGTAAGAAGCTGCAGCAAGAAGCTTGTCATTTCTCTAACTTTATCCATTAACATACATTATAAAAATACACTTGGTTTACCTCTGCATCATGTTTTTTTTTTTTTTTTCGTTTATTATTTAAGGCGGTTCTGCAGACCGTGGAGGAATTCCAGAGTCGAGCTCAAGCGCTGGTCAGTGACAGAGACTGGAGGAGGGAGTCTCCACCAGCTGAGCAGTTGCAGACTCTGTTGGAGCAGGGGGCCAAGCTGCCTGTTGTGGTGCCGGAGTGTGATTTACTCCGGGGCCTAAAGGAGCAGGGCCATTGGCTGGAAGAGGTGAGGCGAACACTGGGCACTGAAGGAGGGGAGAGGCAGGAGGTGACGTTGGAGGTGCTGAGGAATCTGATGGAAGCAGGCTGTAACGTACCTCAGAGTGTTTCTGTGGAGACCGCCATGGCAGAGCTGCAGGAGCTGCTCACGATCGCAGAACGATGGGAGGAGAAAGCACAGATCTGCCTCGAACAAAGGTAAGACAAACATATCGTAAGATAAACACTTCTACATACTTCCCCTACTTTAGGGGTTGTCCTCATTTCTCAAGTAGTTTATCTTGTTTCAAAGAACAGTCCCTTCTCATGGTTTCATTCTTCTAGGCAAAAGCACCCTCTCTCCACGCTGGAGGCCATAGTAAATGAGGCCCAGCTTATTCCAGTCAAGCTGCCCAACATTCAGGCTCTGCAGGGTTGTCTCACTCGAGCACGAGCCTGGGTGACAGACCTAGAGGAAATCCAGGTGACAAAAATAAAAATTTGACTTTGTGATTTAACTGGCAATTCGAAACATGCTTATGTGCTTATGCCATTTTGTTCTTGGAATATTATAATTGATTCCTTTTTCTGTCGTAGAATGGGGAGCATTACCCATGCCTGGATGACCTGGAGGGCCTGGTGGCTATTGGACGGGACTTGCCCGTTTTCATGCAAGAGCTGAGACAGCTGGAGCTGCAGGTAGCCAGCGCTCACTCCTGGAGGGACAAGGCCACTAAGACCTTCCTGAAGAAGAGCAGTCCACACAGTCTGCTAGAGGTGGGCAACTTTTTAGTTTTCCATTTTTTGTTGATTTGTTGGTTTTCTGCTTTGATTGTGTCCCACCTTGTTCTTGCATCACATATTAACAAAGTCAAATTAAAAAAGGGTAGGCAGCTCTAAAGAAATTATAAGAAGTTAAAGCTGAAATTGTATCAAATTTCTGTCAACACTGAACAGCAAAACAAGGTATCAGTACACTTATGTCACACTCCGTTATTGTCCTGCAGGTATTATGTCCGTGTGCAAAAAGGAGAGAGAGGCAAGGTGAGACGCAGCAGTTGGATGATCCTTTAGATGATTCTGATACCAACACTTTGGGCCTCTCTGCTCACGACCTGAGGGACCCTGCAGCTATTGTGAGTTTTTGATATCATTATCATTTTTAATCGCTCTCTCTTAAGATTTCTTTCTTTCTTTTTACATTTTTGTTCTGTGCATAGATAGTCGTTCTTATTGAGAACTGGATTTGTATGTCTCATCTCCAGGTGATGGCGTTCAAAGAAGGGGAGCACCAGGAGAAAGAGACACTACTGAGGTTACAGCAATCCAACATGTGTAAATCTGGATTTAAAACCGCAACTCGCAACGAGGACAAGGAGAACGGGAGGTGGGACGACGCCATGGAGACGGACACATCCAGCCAATCAGAGAACTCTGTAAAAGAGAACGGTAACAGTAACCACACCTGCACCAACCCTTCTCAGTCGGTGTGTGTTTGTGGAGGTCAGCCTCGTGCTCCTCAGCTGCGCTGCCATCTGTGTAAGGACTGGTTCCATGGCGGCTGCGTTCCTTTCCCCTCCCTGCTCCCCACCTCCGGACCACCAGTGAACCCCCTCTGCTGGTGGGACTGGGACTCACGTTTCTTGTGTCCGCAATGCCAGCGGTCGCGGCGTCCACGCCTGGAGACGATCCTGGCGTTGCTCGTGGCTCTGCAGAGGCTACCAGTGCGTCTGCCTGAAGGAGAAGCACTGCAGTGTCTCACAGAGAGGGCCATCACCTGGCAGGGCCGAGCCAAGGAGGCACTGGAGACACCTGAGCTGCAGGAGGCACTCGAGAGGCTGCAAGAACTCAAAGAAACTCTCCACTGTGACACAGAGAAAGGGGAGGAGGAAGATTTGGAAAAGGGGACAGAAGGGAGTTCAGTGATTGTTTTATCGGACTCCGATGGAGGGGAAGGAGAGGAAGGAGTCATTGATCTGACTGAGGAGTCACCTAAGAAGAAGACCAAGGAAACCAATGGCACTCAGGTTTACACCTTTCTCTGATTCTATTTGTCTAATCTTTTTTATGGGATGAATAATGTTAAATTCCTGTTTCATGTATTATTGTTATTATAAATTAACCTATTTAATTGAATCTTTTTTTTTATCACTGTTTGTTGATCCACAGGTTGGCTGTAAAAATGGCATCAGCAAAAAGTCAAATGTTACAGGTAAGACATGTTGCTCATTTCTAAGTAACCATCAAACAGTGAGATGTGCAAGTTAAACCACAGACCTCAGCTCTGAGCACGTTTTCTTCCTGTGCACTGTTCAGGTGTGGGGTCTCTGATGCCCCTGCTGCCTCAGCTCAAAGGCCAGGTAGTGGAGCTTGTACCAGCCACCAGGGTCAAACTGGAGGAGCTGCAGCTGGAAGGAGATCTGCTGGAGGTGTCTCTGGACCAGACACTTCCCATCCACAGAGTCCTGCAAGCTGCTTCACTTCCATCCAGAGAATCTTTGCACACACTCATCCAGGTCAGGAAAATACATTCTGACATTTTAAATTACTTCTAAAGGGCAAGATATTAAAAGGACATAAACCTGAAGCATTAAATGACAAAATATAAGCAGGGCTTCCAAAGACATATGGCTTACCCAAAAGCTTACCCAATTCTTATCAGGTTAGGAATAATTGCAAAAGAGCAATAGGCCTCTTTCTCAAATAGGGGTGGGCTGGTAAACACTTTGGGTGGGCAATGCTGGCTGTAGATAGCTCAGTGGTTGAATGATTTTCTGTCATATCTAGAATTGAAGTCTGACTAATCCCTTTGCTGTTTTTTGGATGAAGCTAATACAAGTGTTGCTGAGTTTAGTACACAGCACTTTTTTGATCTGTAATGTTCTCGTTGTCTTCGTCTCCCAGATTGAGCTTGAAGAGCAGAGGCGAACCGGACGTGGTCGACCCAAGGACTCTAAAAGGAAGAGAAAGGGCCACAGAAGCAGTGTTGGGGAGGGGGCAGGAGGGAGGTCACTGGATGCCTCAGAGTCAAAGAAAACCTGTCCTCTCAGCCACAGCCCCTTCCCTCACTTACCTGTCCAGACCCACCCAGAGGTAAATGCCCCACCCCCCCACCCCTTTATCCTGCTTTTGCTTTAACATTAATCCAAGTAATGGATGTGGTTTTAATGCTTACATAATAACTTTTTCTTTGCTTTAGACAGATTTTGTGATGTAGTCGACGCTGGAGCTCTGTTCAAACGGATCCGTCGTAGGACTTGGGGACAGAAGGTTCTGTGCCAGAAAACAGTGTCAAGTTATAGAAAGATGCAGGACATCCCCCTCCCCCTGTACCGTTCACCCCTCCTCATTCCTCATTTACACATTCAGACACTAACAGAGCAATGACTCTTCTTCTACACTCCACTGTCTCACCCCAAACTCAGCCATATCTCCCCCCATTGTAATTATTCTTTTCCGTCTCACCCGTCTCTCCGCCTTCCCTGGAACATTTCCCATGAACATGTAAAGACTGTTGAATCGATGTGGGACTTACCACCATAGGAGTCTCTTTGGTCTAGAGTTGTCTCTGAGGTCAGTCAGTATGCTAATGTTATCCAAACTGTATTAAATGCTAGTTCAGCTGAAGCCTGTCTGAGCGCAGGCAGTTGCAGTTTCATTTCACTTAAAAAGTCCCCGTCATTGAAGTTGGATAAGCTATGGTTTAATTCTGTTTTGGGAATAAACCCTGAAGCTGAGGTACAGCAGAAGGTTTTGACCCCTGATCTTAGACAACAGCATCGTTGTTACACTTGTATTTTTTATTTTATTTTTTTAGTTGTACTGAATCTTGTGTTTGATGCTGTTTTGAGAGGACATGCATTTTGAATAAACTGAGAACATTTTGGGAAGTGTTAAAAGAGGCATTCATGTTTTTGGTGCTACTTTCCCAGAATGGACATCTGTACCTCTTAGCTTTGTCCTTCCCCTCCCACCCCCCCTCCCCATGATGCCTTTTCCTTTTCTTTTTTTAACGCCCATCCTTTTTATTTTATTCCTTTCCATCTGACCTTTTTTCTCTCCCTCCTTCTCTTTCTCTTTAAAAATTAAGGTAACTTCACTGTAACTCACTTTGTCACAATTTATTATGTTTCCTGGGTTCAAATTATATTATTATTATTATTATTATTATTATTGATATTGCAGACACACAGTTGTCGTGAGTTTGTGTAAAAACTATTCATTTTAATGTTGCCTTTGTTTCTTTTCACTCTTGCTAGAAAATAAAGGTTTAGTATTGTTTAGGACATGATGCCTCGTTATTTCTCATCCAAGTCCTGAAAAAAAATCAACACGTTTTCTGCATTGTTAAAATTCCCAACAAAAAGGCAGCAAATAAAAAGTACCAACACATTTTTTATGCTCACGCATTTATTTAGAAAAACATTCACTATGAAATGACAGACACGGGACATCACAATATTCAAGAAGTACACCATGTTTTGTCTATGCTAGAAGATTTTAGAAAGACACATCCACAAATTACATTATGTCAAAGGCTTTTAGTCTTAAGCATAAAAAAATGTTTTCTGCGTCAAACATGCATGTAAGCCAAATGAAAAATCACCTTTAGTTCACAGGGTTTAAAAAACTAGTTACCCTATTAGAAGCGATCATTGTTCTGTTATTACAGACGTTTCTGCTGGCCGTAGGTTCTGAGAGCGACATTATAATTAGGACAGGTGATACATCCGGCAACAATGACATTAAAACAGAAAGCCTGCTGATATAGCAAACATAAAGAATCTTGGTTTGCACTGAATAAAGCCGTATTCACAGCATACACTTGACAAAATGATATCTCATACTGACATCAACTTAAAAGTAGGAGTTCTATGACAAATATAAAGACAAACCAAAAGCATGATTAAAATGCATTTATGCCTTTTTGATTAAAATATCAACGGTGTTGTGCTTTTAATGACACAATGTGCTTATTTCTTTTTCAAAAAACCGCAAGCTGTCAGTAGTTCTGTGCTTCAGTAAAATGGTACTTCTTCCTTTCTTGTATCGCTCTACACAGCCACATCTGCCTGGATGGAAGGCACAGATCAGCTACTTATTACAAAAAGCATGTGTGTCTGAAAATTTTGTAGCTGCATTTCCTTCTTCAAAAAAGGAGCATTTTTACATTTACACAGCACGAATGAAAAAATGTCATAACTACATAAACTTGCACACAATGTTCTTTTGAAAATGTCCTTAGGCAAACGACCTTTGTGGACTCTTATGGCACAGACGTGATTCTTTTTTTTTTATCTCACAGCTGCATGGGTCTTGACTTTTGATTTTCCTTTGTTCTTTCTTTAATAAAAATGTAGCTAATAGGGTATTGCGCACCGCTACCCTAATGGCTTTACAGCAGGTGGTGCCATCTCTCAAGTAGTGACGCATCTGTAAAAAGACTTCTCTGAATATGTAACAGCTTCCAAAATACTAATATGTGCTCTTGTTCCATTTAATGTCTGAGAGTCTGCTTGTCCAACCCAAACAGTTTTTTTTTTTTGTTTTTTGTCTTGTGCAGTGACGGTGACGTCCAGGTTCTATATCTGAAAAATTAGTTGCGGGTTTCTGTGCAAGATAAAAGATGCTTCACATGTGAGAGGAAAAGTTTTAACAAAAAGGCTCGGAAGCATTTTTCAGACAGGTTTAGGTCCATTCAACCAGGCAAACTTAAGAGGAAACTGTAGCTAAAAAGTATTCTGTGTTGAATTCATGGAAAAGATGTCTGAATTGCAGCTTTATTTCAACACTAATGTAAATGTGTGTATTGTTTATCTGTTTGGGATGATAAGTACTGTTACCGGACACAATTTCAGTCAGGAGCTTTCCTTTTATATGAACATTTCAGTTCGGGACTCGTCCTATGCTACTTTGTATTGCCATACACTTTATACCCCTGCATCCTTTCAGACAAATATGTGCCAGTGTGTACCAAAGCAGCTTGTACTCGAGCTATAGAGACACTTTGGCATTCCCACCTTATCTCAGACTGTGGTGACAGACAGCAGCGGATTGTAGACCTTCTTTCCATCAACAGACCGTGCTCCATGTGCAAGTAGCTCCTGTATAGTGATCCAGTTGTCCAGGATTCTGCGACTGCGTTTCTTCATGCTCCTACGGTGACACAGCTCCAGGATGGAGTTTGGCTCCTGTTGGTTGCTAGTCCCCGGCTGTCCAGCACCGTTGCTGCCCTGCTCTCTCTCACGGTCTCTCAAACAGTCCAGACGGCTCTGCATCATGAACTCCCTGCGCCGCCGCTGTTCTCTGGCCTTCTGCAGCTGCTGCTTGCGCTCCTCTTTGCTCCAGTAACGGCCCATTTTCATTTCGCTTACGGCATCGTCATCGGTTGTCATTCCACTGCGTTCCTCTCTGATTTTCATGGCTCGGGCCTTCAGGAGGCGATCCCTCACTGGCCGTTTGGCCACGTAGCGTGAGCCATCGCTGCGGATCTTCACTTTCCACTCCATACGAGGGGAGGCAGGCATCAGTGGGGGGGACATGGGTAAGGGTCCTGCATCTGTAGCCTGGGCAACATCTTTACAGGTGCTGCCCAAACTCATCGGGCTGGCGTCGCCCCCATTTTCCATGCTGCCCTCTCGCAGTCCACCTAGCTGCTCAGAGGTGGAGGCAGACCTCAGTTGCATGCAGCTCAGGTAGCGCTGAGGCGGCTTTGTTTCAGTCCCACGGCGCGACAGGTAAGGGCTGTTATCAGCACTGTATCCCCCATTCCTCTCAGCTGTGCCATTGGCCTTTTGGTTGCGTCTCGCTCCTCCATCTGAACCTCTTCTTGTTCCTGCATCCCGGGACAGTGACCTTACCTTAGGACCTGCGTTTAATGTCTTTGACTCGGTTCCTCTCCTGTGAGGTTGGGGAGAGTAGGTTTGGTTAAGGTTGGCTTGTATCCCGTCCCTTTCAGCCCTGGTTCCCCTCTCTCTTTGCCTTGTGGAGGTTGGAAGCTGCATGCATGCAGGGAGAAGAACCTCTCCTCTCTCCAGGCTCTGCGTGGAGTGTGAAGGGTACAGGTCATTGACCAGAGGGGTGCTCCTGCAACTCTCCCCTCCAGTGTTGTAGGCACTGGTACTATCCTTGTCTGAGCGTTCCCTCTCAGGTAACTCATTGATATCGGACAGAGCGTGGTGACAGGACTCCTCACTGGCTAAAGGACCATTGATCTCAAGGTGTCCAGCTCCTACCCCAACCCCTGAACTCGCTCCATTCATGTCCTCGAGAGGCCAAGCCTTCAGACAGCGCTCCCTCAGCTGCTGCATCTTCTGTGCCCTCAAGATGTTGCGACACTTGAACTCCAAGTGGCGCAGCTCCTCTTCCAGAAGGGCCATCTCATGCTGCGTCAGGCTCTCATTCCTATTCACATCCAGTGAGACACCTCCTTCATCTTGTGCCTGCCCCTGATCGCCAAGCAGCATCAAATCATTACTGTGCTTCTCATAGTAACATTTGATTTCAAGGAGCTCCTTGTACCTCTCGCACTCCTCGTCTGTCAGCCCAGGCATCATCATCCTCATGGGATCTGCCATGTAGGCCCTCTCTAAACGTTCCAGCTGTTCCTGCCCTCCTCCATTAACACAGTCCAGGCCTAAGAGGGAGTCGGTGCTGAACTGGAGGTTCTGAGAGTGCAGCAAAGGTGGAGTTTCCCCTCGGCTGGACAAAAACTTGCGCATGCTGCCTGGCGTATTAGTGGCGTTTGTGTTGGAGGCACTGGTGTGGTCATCTCCCAAAAGATCATGTTCTGAAGACTCCTCATAGCGCGTGCTTTCATCTGTACGACCGACCCCGCTGTCCAGCTCCTGGCTGTTGCTCAGCACCGTCTGAAGCAAATCAGGCGAGTCCCTACTCAGTGAGCGGCCGTGGTTACCCAGCACACCAGAGACACAGCCTGGGCCAGCACCCAGGACGTAGCTGCCGTTCATCACTCTGTGGCTGCTGGGAAGGTGAGCAGCATTGTCCAGTGACTCCACTTCCAGCTCTTCCTGGTCCAGCTGGTTGTCATTCTGACAGATAAAGATGTATCCGGTGCAGGTGTTTGATTAAGTACATGAAGTTGCAGTTGAGATGTAATGTTTGTGTTGAAGAGACAAAAGACAAAGGTAAAGTATGCATTAGAAAGTTGGCTTAAAATCTCAAGGTTGAAAGTTCTCCCAACCCCACCGAAAAATGTGTTTTGTAAATGTCTCAGTGCTCCTCCTTTCCTGTGTTCAAATGTATTTTGTATATGAGATACTTCAAACCTCAAGTGCACAGAAAACATATTTTTTTTAACACCAGCTTGTTTTAATCTTGTCCAACTGGTTGCTACAGGCAGGAAGTTCTCAGTGGCATGAAAGAAAATAACTTCTCCAGAACTTAGAGGCGTCTTTTCTGTCTTTCTCTCCCTCCATCCCACTTTATCAGCCCATCAGTTAGAGACAGATGGCTGTTCACCATCTGAGTCTGCTTAAGGTTTCTGCCTGTTCAAAGTGTTTTCTTGCCCGTGTTGCCAAGTTCTTACTGATGGTGGATCATTAATGTTGGGTCCCTGTAAACAGAGATACAAATAGTACAGCAAGACCCGCACTATACTTTAAGGGTCATGAGATATCTTTTGTTGGGATTTGGAACTATAGAAATAAAAATGTATTGATTATTGGATTAAATGGCACCTCTTCAGAGCTCTGGTGACACTCTCTTTCAGAATATAATTAAAGCATCTTTACAAAAACAGACTTAGAAACTGTTTCTTACTTAAATCTCTGTACAAAACTTTAAACTCATAACCTTCCCTCCCAAGAAAGGCAAGAATATCTGTGCAAAATTCACTTTACTGCTGCTACCTGTCCACTATTAATTCACTGTGAAATGTTTATTTCATCATTCACTGCACTATAACTGTTTGTTTATTTATTCAGTCCATGCAAAATAAATGTTTATTCACTGCACTATGACTTATTTCATTAAATTATTAACTGAACTGTTAGTGTTATTTATTCCCGCCGCTGCATTATATCTTTGTTTAGCACAACTATGTTTTAACATGTAGGCTACATAGCTACAGATATATTTTCATATCAATCAATCTTTATTTGTATAGGGCCAATTCCGATTTGTTGTTTTCTTTTATGCAATGACAATAAAGTGCCCATCTACTGTATCTGTTCTGTGCAGGACGTGTCTGATGATACACAGATAGTTCTCCATTCTACCACTAGATGGCGCTAGAGCTATGTCACATTTTAACACAAGATTAAAA